TATATATATATATATATATATATATATATATATATATATATATGAATTCATCTCCAGCCAGAATAAAAATTGAAATGAAAGAAAAGAAGGCTATATATTTTCCAGTTTTTTTCCTTTTCAAGACAAAAAAACTTGTAATACAAAATATTTGCTAGAAATATAGGAATAATGATATACTAACAATTGAGCATGATCTATAAAAAAATTATAATAATCACAATTATTATGAATGCATCTTCTTTCTTTGTCATCACCGCTGAGCGACTGCATCTTCATTTGACGTATGTAGTTTATCAATAAGATATGCAATATTGAAATGACGTCCATTAATGTCAAATGATGCCGTAACTCTTCGGTATGATCCATTCTTAACAATGATAACAAAATGGCAGTGTGGTAAAGAAAGCACGAAAAAAGCCCTTGTTACCAATACCCTTCACATTTCCTGAAGGGTGTTAGTAACGAAGGCTGAATGATGGATCACATAAGTAATTAAACACACAGTATCAAAACACGTTTGATCTCACTAATACAATTGATTCTGGATTACAATATTAAACAAAAAAAAAAAAAAAAAAAAAAACCTTAAAATAGGAAATTTAATAAATAAAATTATACAATACAAATTAAATAAAAAGTGCAAAGAACATAACGATGTCCCACTTCTATCATATATGAATACCTTCTCGAGCACAGATAAATCTTATCGATAGTCAAATCAATTAGTAAACTGAATAAGATGTTTGACAACATTTAAGTTTCGTTCGAAAAAGTGTTGCACCCATACCCCGGAGATGCACCATATCGGATCTGTTAGTAGAATTCCCAATTGTCAAACACCTCCAAGAAGTTCACCGATACATGCAGTAGTCATCGCAGCAACAACAGATTAAATAGCATAAATCAATTTGTCATCTCACGATGAGTAATTATCTGCCAAACATATTCCCATATCATTCCTAGTTTTTTTGTAAAGCTGATCTAAAGAACAACTTTACAATAAGTGCAGCGCAACGTTAGATGCAGGTTCATAGGGGATTCAGTGTTTCGAAAAAGGCAGAAGACTTGGATTCAATATTTCGAAAAAGGCAGAAGACTAAAGAATCTCTAAGCATTTACTTTTATCATCGTCAGTATCGGTGAACTGAACTTGAGGAATAACATAAAATTGCATAATGGGAATATCTGGAAGTTCTAAAATACAATTAAGATAATAAATAAGACACGACACCTTTTTTAACCTAAATAGGTGGCTTCTCTTTTCTTTTTCTCGCATCATGTCAACTACTTCCTTGCCTCGTTAGGTATGATATTTAACTGTCAAGGTTTGCTAAAATAGCGTGTCAGCATTTCGGTAATTTTAGCCGATGTCCTTCCTGCAACCCGTAAAGGTGAATCACCAGAATTCGATACTGCTGCAGCATCAATACCTGAAAAAATCACGTTGTTATACAAATGAAAATTAATGGATCGTTTTATGGAACGAACTATTAAGGTTTGCTGCTTAATTTAATTTGATTCCATTTTTAACAGTGATGATCGGAAGAACGTTTTAGCATGATTTCTTCGTTCGAGTTATTACTTAACACCACAACGAATGTAGACTTTTTTCTGAATATCTGTCGTTTGCTTTTTTTTTCTATTATGAACCTAAAGTGCATATAGTAAGGTCATGTCATATTCTCGTCATTTTGGATATTCAAAAACTATTCCAATATTCCACAAACATGAATAACATCAACCGAATTATTCCTCATTTCTTATGAATTATATCACCCAATAACTAACAATATTCCACCGATACAACATCCTTAATATGGGTGCATTTTCCGCTCAAGAATACGAAGAATACGTCATTGTGTCGTATGCTTACATATATACGCTGTAGAAAAACAAAACCTGGTGCTTCAAGAAGATAGCGAACTGTTGTAAGGACACGATCTTCTGGTTGATTTGACGTGATCGCAAGATGTAATGGTGTAAGGTTGCCGTGCGATCGACAGTTAACATCAACGCCATGACGAAGCAGCATCGCTACAACTTCGCACATCGACCATGTTGCTGCGCAATGTAACACCGTCCAACCATCATTCGTATTCCATTCTGGATTGGCTCCAATCGATAACAAGTATCCGACAGTATCAATATGTCCACTGTACGCAGCTCGATGCAATGCCGTATACCCATCCACATCGCGAGCCTAATAAAGAAGTTACAATTAGAATTCGTACCGCAGAAAAATAGTAGACGTTAAAATTTAATGATGAAAACAATCAATTTACTTATTTACATTTATTATTTTCCTTTTTATCTAGTGTAAATCAGTGAAGCAATGATCAAAAAGATACCTGTTCACGGAGACGAACGCAAGTTCCCTGCGATCCCTTTTAAAGAAAAGCCTTGCACAAAATAGCAGTGATATTGCATTCTGCCTTAGACGAAGAATCTCAGTCCCTATTCCCTTCCTCTTGTTCCACCCCAACTCACAATTAACAGCGAGGGATACCAAAATATACAGAGTGGTACTTTCCAGTTAGTCCTATCGATGAACCACTAATCATTCATTAAAGCCGTATTAAAGTCTTTTTTTCACAAAACCAG